ATCCCTACTCTTGCACTTTGGGGCCATTATTAAGTAAAATAAGGGTTACTTGAACCCAAGCACTGCGACAGCACGTTGATCTTACAGCTGAGAATGCTACTCAGTGACTGACAGGCAGACCGAGCTACAGCGCAGAGACACTGAACAAAGAGATGATTCGTGTCCTAGGTGGGCAATTTAAAACTTGTGAATTGTTTGTTCCTGGGATTTTCCATTTAACATTTTTGGACCAAGGTTGACCATGGATAACTGAAACTGTGGAAAGTGAAACCCTCGGATAAGGGGGGACTACTGTATCTCTTCCACAAATCAGTAAGAAAAGATACAACCCATAGACAAGTGGATAAGTGGTAGGAATACACAATTTACAGATGACATGGTGGTAAACATGAAGAATTTTAATTCTCACATTGTTATTATAGAAAATTTGGAAATTAAACAAATTTGTAAAGAAATTTAAAATTCCCTGTGATCACCTTTTCCAAGGTTAATAACTGTTTTCAATTTTGGATCTGTCCTTAGAGTTGTTTCATGTTATGCATATATACTTTTTGTTTTAAAAGGCTAGGATTGTATTATGCATATATCTACTTTATTGTTTAGCTCTTTTAGCATTTAATTTTTCATCTAATGGTAAGTACCCCATCTAGATGGTAAGCTCAGTAAAGATAAATGCCATATTTTATACCACTTTGAGTCTTGCATGGCATCAAGCACAGTGTAGAAATGTATTAAATGTAGAAATTTTTTAAATATTGACTTGCCGTTTCCTCCATTTTAGCACATCCAAGTGTGAATGGTGCCACGGTCCCAAGTTTGGCGAAGGTTTTCGTATCATCCGATCCTATGATATTTTTGGAGTATTACAGCTTCCTGTTATGTTTCATGTCTGCTCTTCTTACTGCTATAGAAAAGTAAACGAAAGCAGTTTTATTTTAAGTAGCACTCCTGATAAAACAATAGCTCTAAATTTGGAGTTGACAAAAGAATGATAGTACGATGATTTATCATCCCCACTATAAAAGCCAATAAAATTTATATATAGTAATTCATCTCTTTGAGAGTACAGGTTCTGTACAGAAGACATAAGTGTCTTCTCATATGAATTCTCTTTATGATCCTAGCTCCTTATGAAAGTTTGTGATTGTTAAGAAACTGTTACAGAATAATTACTCAAGAAGGATTAGTAAAGGCCTTTGGATTTAAATAAAGATCAAGAAAATTGCTTTCAGAGTCCATTTACTATAAAAAGAAAAATGTTAGAATCCTTTGCAGAAAGGATTGTATCTTACAACTGGTCTTTTCATGCACCCACACTAAGCAACGAGATAGCATTTCAAAGTCATCAGTAAGGCCTGTGCTGCATGTGGCTTCTCAGTCATGCATTCCAGTACTCAATGTTTGTGCATTTTTTGTGGAAATCTGTCCAGTGCCTACTGTCTCAATTATTTTGGGGAACAAAACATTAATTCCAGTTCCATTTTTAGTTGTTTGAATTCATTTCCCAGGTTCTTAGAGAACTGGGGCAATCTCTAACAGTTACCTTGACCGAGATCTGCATCTCATAAAGCCAAGATATTGGGCATTAGCCTGATTCCATAGGCTAACACCAGTAATTATCAAGGTCTTCAGTGATAGCCCGAAAAGAAAATAGAGTAGAACCTACAAAGCAGTATATGCATACAGTAGAACTTAAGGCTTTACGAATTAACATCTGGGAGGAGGAAGGTAAAAGAGCATTTTAATATTACAATTTTAGAACTGCATAGACTTTTTTCACATACAGCCTTTTATGTGCAGTTAACTTAAATCTAAAATATCATTGCCAATTAAACTTAATGAATAAAATGATTTAAGTTTATACAGCTATCTTATCATTAGAGAATGTCAGAAAATACACATTGTGTCAAGTTTGTGTGTATCATTTAGTGACATCATTTAAATTAAAGATAAATCAGGCAAAATAATTTTTCTGACTATTGACTTCAATAAATTGGGATGTTTACATGCTTTTCCTTGAGACTCAGTTTCATTTAAAGCAGAAATGGGTAAACTTTGCTTGAGAAGTATACACTGCATTCTCCAGCACAAGAATGAAATTATTTATAATAGAATTAGCTACCATTTCACACATGTAATATAGAAGGGGATATTTATAGCATGATAACAAATTAATTCATTAAAAATATAATATATTCACAATTATAAAACAAGATAAAAGGTAAGATTAACTCCTAGTGACATATAGCCTATTAATACTCATCTTTGTTCCTGAAATAGTTCTTGGGGGAAGAAATATGTTTTATTCATTCAAAAAACATTGGGTTTTGGTTTGAGCAACTAGGTGGTATCACATTGAAATAGAAAAAAAAACAAGAAAGAATAGGTTTTAAGGGAAATGACAACAACTTAAAGACATTCAAAAACAAGTATGCCTAGACATTCAGACAAATATGAAACATACTCAGAGCCCAATCTCACCACAGTTAGTACAAACCTTAAATATCAGTGATATCTTACAAATTTTTTAAAAAGTAACTTATAGTGTATTTTTAATATGAAAGTGAGATTTATTTATTATAGAAATATTAGTTTAGAAAAAGAGTGTTTAGGTAGTCAAAATGAGTTGGCACTCCTGATTTGTGGATGTATGGATTTCTGAGATTAATTGCATGTGGGACATTTGCATTGCTCGTTAGCCAAAGGAATCCTATTTGAAGATTAGAAGTGGTTAACTAAGCACAACTTGGAGAAAATGGAAAAAAGAATCAATTTTTGTCATTAGTCTCTACCTCCTCCCCCTCCCCTAAATGTAATGAAAACAACAAATGAAAAAATCAAAGATCCTCAATCGACATTCAGTCATTTGGAAAGGTCATTGTGTTTATAATTTTAAAATAGAAGAAATTGGAGAAATACATATTTAAAATCTATTTTAAAAAAGCAAACCATAATGCTTTTGTGGTACTACCTGTGTGGTGCGGAAAACTATCAGGTCAGACTCCGGGAAGGCTGTTGAAAGGAAGTGGATTGATTTGAGAGAGGATCTTTCTTATCCTTTGGTCTTCCCTCTTTTCTCCAGCCTAGAATGCAGACAGGATGACTGAGGTTCCAGCAGCCATTTTGGGCCATGAGGTGACCTTGAGAATAGAGAGTAGAAGCCTAGGTGCCGATGACACCATAGAGCCACAATATCAGACCTGGTATTGCCTACCTTGTACATAAGAGACAAATTGATTTTTATCTTGTTTTAGCCACTGATACTTTGGTTTTTTTCTCTTATAGCCAGCCAAATCTAATCCTAACCAATTACAGCTTGTTGTAGACAGACGTTAATCACTATCAGCAAAGAGCCAGACTCCCTCTACTGGAGAAATCTGTTATTAGCTCACTTGCTTTTCCCTTCAAGCTGCTCTTAACTACCTTTTAAACCTGATTTTGGTCAGGTTTCTATGTAAGGCTGGGACAAAGCTGAGCAAACTGATTTGCTCATGGTCCCACTGGTAGGGTGAGGCAGGGAGCTGACACTGCCACCTCACCCGACACTGGTCTATCTGACCCACTGGCAAGGAAGAAATCAACCACTTCTGGTCAAATTATTCTCCTTTTTGTATACCTCTTAAAAGAAAAAAATAAGTCTTACAGATTAGCACACCAGGAAAGCCCAAGAACAGCATGCAAAATCTGAACTGATATTGAGGCTTCCAGCATCTGCTGGGATGGCAGACTTCTAGCCCTACATCATTACCTTCGCCAGCTCACTGTAGACATTACTCATCAATCCTACACTCTTGCCTGCCCTGATCTGCCTTGAAGCTTTGTCAACATAACCTGTCAGAATAATCTTCTCTTTGTGTGCATGATAGTGCCTTACAAACGCATTTGATATCATCTCTTTTCAAGCAAGTTCTCGTTTGGTAATGGCTAGCAACTGTAAAAGGATACTAAAATAGGATTCTCACCATCTCCATTTTAGGTGGGGTCCAAATCCTTAAACTGAAATAATAAGTTTCCAGAGGAGACGTTATCTGGAACTTGGAAAGGAGATGGCCAAAACTAGTTTTGTGGCAGATAGTCATATATATCTGGCATATATTTAATAGGTATGTGAAAGGTTGATCAAGAGTTGAGGAAGCACACAAAAGAATTCCCACAGAGAGGACTATTACAGAACTAAAGCTCCAGAAATCATGGTAAGTGCTTCCCCTTGCCGTAAGTCAAGTGGCAGAGGTATCAAGGGCCGCCTATTTGATAAGTTTAAGTGTTCGCTGGAGCTCAGGGACACAGAGCACTGGTGTAGGACACACACAGAGAAATTGAGAGGGAAGAGACCGTGGCTATTGGCCTAAAGTAGCCAAGCAAAGAGAGCCAGAACAGCTCGTGCCCCAGACTGGGGCAAGGATGTGTGAGTTTTCCTTGGAGTCAGGTGGACCAGAGGGCGGATCAAGCCTAGGGTCATGTCCAAAGGCTTCTCTTTGGGAGCCTTCCCTGGGGGTGGGGCCGAATGATTGTAGAGGGATCTACTAATGGAGGTGCAGGTCTTAAGGAAGGGGATGGAAAGTGGCAGTTGAAGGAAGCACCTCCAGGATGGTGGGTGGGGGACTTTCATTCCTGGTGGGTGGGGGACTCCCCAGGAAACCCACGAAATTGCCCAGAGAGTTAACTTGAGCATCCACCAAGCCCAAATGGCACAATGCCAGATCATGAAACATGACTGTGTCAGTTTCCCCTGCCCTCCTTTGCCCTTGGGCATCACTCTGAAAGCGTCAGAAACTACAGTCAGTCAAGGGGAGAGAGCAAGGTGGGACTGGGGGTTGAAGGATGACACATGCAGCCAATGGTGACCCCTGCCCCACTGTAGATTTCACACCTGACCCAATACGGATCTCACTTGGTTAAGAGCTTGGAGTGTGAATATTTGGACTGGACACCCGGTTGCTGCAATGACACTGCTCTTACGGCACAGGGGCAGGCAGGGCTTTGGAGTCTACCAGAGATTGCATGCAGAGGCAGGGAAAGAGCCAATCCTTGGAAGAGCTATAAAGGGCCACAAGAGAAAGACCAAGTTGCTCTATGCTGTCCGCAACCTTCTTTGGGTCCTACTTAGTCAGAAAAAACAGCCACATCATATTCACCCTCAGGCCCCTGTAGCCCATAGACAAATTGTGAGCCCAGGCAGTGGAACCACCTGTTTCTTTTGAGAGAACTCCACCCCAGCTGCACCTGAAAATTGGAAAGGATATCTCCTGACACCTGGAGCATGAGAAGAATAAGAATCGATCTACTCAAAATGTCACATCAATCTTGGAATATCTGACCCTCCTTCGTGACATTTTAATAGCAACATACTGAATTTGTCTGACCCCTGGAAAAATCTAAACAAGTTAAATTTTCACTATGTTTCAAATAAAGCAAGCTGATGCTAGAAAATTCTGCAATAGCCAGAGGTGGCTCTGGAATATTAATATGACTAGATCTCCCTTAAGCTGAAACTTTAGGGGGCCCATTGGCATGTTCCTCAGGAACTCATACAAGCCTCTTGCCATAATCCATAAAAAGTTTAGTGAGAACAGTGGGCTTACCTGAAAATGTACAAATAATAGTTGGTTTGATTTCCTTCCTGTATTTTTTTCTAGTTCGATTGTATATGGTTTATGGGTGGTTTTCATTTTTCTACCGAAAAGAGATGCACGCTAATTGTACTTTTTGGTCCCTGGGTCACTCTTGCTTCTGTCATACACTTTTAATTTAAGGAGTGAGGTACTAAGCCATAAGCATTGCCCAAGTAATTTACAGTAATGCAAAATTTGGCTCAATAAGCAGATCAATAGTCTCCATAAGGCCCAGGCCAGCTACAGAGACAGTTACAGAAAGTCATTATCTAATTGGAAATATCTGCTGGGACACCAGTTTTCCAACTGACCTTAACTGAATATTCTCTTAGCCCAGAAAGCATGATAATAGATTGTCCTTGAAACAGCATTCAGACAAG